CTAGCCCCGCGCCCAACCCCTCCTCCTTTCTCATCCTGGTCTTGGGACCAGGCAAAGGCGGAGGTTGGCATGTTTGGTGTGACGGGGATTCGAACTCGCGACCCTCAGATTACGAGCCCTAACCACCTGACCATGCCGGGCCTAAGATTCAGGTATAGCCATCCTTAATTTAGAACTACTGACCAGAGGAAGTTCAGCTTGTAGCAGTAGCCATTACTGTTATGCTACTACTCTTAACCGATTAGCGGGATTGATTGTCACAGTTATAACACATCTAAAAGTGCGAAGAATGTTCAGCGATATAACAGAACTCAATCCTTGGACCTGAGCCACTCCCAGCCCCTATATATTTAAAAACTCATTTCTCAAAAATATACAACATATATTAGACTTTTTTTTCTTCGGATCTCCCGGTTGGTCAATGATAAGTTTACGGACTTACAACGCAAAAATCTGGGATTCGATTCCATGCGGGGAAGAAAGTGCATTTGGATACTTTTTTACAGTTTTGTAATTTGATGCTTTGTCAAACAAGATATAATCATGAGCTCTCCCCTCTCCCAGTGACCACATCGCTAAAGCGAGAATCTCATCCACAATAGTGTTCAAAATTGCAGTTTATATAAATCATATATTTAGGATTTTAGAAATTGACCTTATGTAATAGAAGTTGCATCTGCATGTGTGAGAGTTTTGTGGGAAAGTCATAACGAGTGTAGCATGTTTCTACGATCATAGCCACGCAATTTATTCACATATAGATCGTTTTAGTCCTTAGAGGATTTTTGTCTGTTTATCGCTAGACGTTTGTCTTAGTCCTAAAGAGACTCCCATAACGGAATGTGTTAAAACAAAGTTCAAATTAATCTTGTCACTAGATGGCGAGATGCCGTGGGAATTGTGGCTACTTATTGCCAGCCGATTTCATCCGTCCTCTAGGGAGAATCTAGACATGTGAAGAGACGTTTTAGACAGTTACCGAGGGCTTCTTTAAACGGTAATGTCAATATTTCACATGATTTCGATGGTAACTTTCACAGACAATGGTGTACATAACGAACGAGATCCTAATGTGTACAAAGTTTACCTTCTTTAAAAGGTGATATAAATAGCATACGAAGTTCTGGTACAAACTTTGATTTATTACTTTAAACAGTAATGTCAATAACTACTATGTTTTGAAAACTAACTTTAATTTCTGGCTGTGTTTTATGGCTCTGCTTTCAACAGTTGTAGCTCCGAAGGCTTATAACGCTAAAAACCAAGTTCTGTTACCTGTGGTGGACGCAACACAGATGGCCCTTTGTGTAGCTTTGTGCTTAAGAACAACAATTATATATATATATATATATATATATATATATATATATATACTACATTTTCCTGCAAAATACAGTATTGTAGAGGCTTTACTAGGTTTCGGTATGAAATACAGTGTTTTACACTATGTTGTAGACATTGTATTAGGTATTGATATGAAATACTGTATTCCAGACATTACACTAGGTTTTGGTATGAAATACAGTGTTTCAGACATTGTTCCAGGTTTTGATATATAATACAATGTTATAGATATTATACATGTTTGTTTTATTGTTTTCTCTCTTTAAAAAACTTCACAAATAACGTAATGAAACCTCAAAAAATTCCCAATATGATGTCAACACAACGAAGAAAAAAAAAACGAAGATAAAAAAATAGAAAGAAAACAGCAAAATCTCTTCATTTCACATATTATATATATATTGATTGACTAGAGCCGTGAACGTAAATCAAAATACATCTAAGAAAAAGATATAGTTTCACAAAATTAGAAGTCGGTTAACTTTCTGAGGCCAAACTCACACGTGAAAATCGAATCTTTCTTCTATGTTATTGTAATACCCCTCTTTTTAACCACATACTTTTATTTACATGTAATTGTGGCTTAAATTATATAAATATTATGCTGATGTATGGACTTCTCATAAGTTCTTAATGATAGCAGCAAGTTCTACCTTGACAAACTAGCGAAACGTCAGAACAGTTTTTTTTACAATAGGCAACATATAATTGTGTTCAACACAAACTGTCATATCATTCGCCTAATCCTGTCACGTTGTTAAAAAATAAAATAAAAAAACGTTCAAATCCCTTGTGTAATTTGCAGAGAATAATTAAGTTAAATTTATGAAAGTAGGCAAGAGGACAACGAACAACAAAATATGTGCAAAGCAACGTTGGAAGTTTGAGACACAAATTAGGAGATAATTTATTTATGAAACGTTTGGATCAGTCACCCGACTCTACTAACACGTTAATAGGCAAGATTATACAAAGTGAGAAGGAATAATATTTTACAATAATAACGGTGTTGAAAATTATTATAAGGTAATCATGAAAGCCTTTGCAAAGCTAAATAATAATTAGGTAAATGGGAAATTTGATTAATTTTTTGAGCGACAAATTGCATACCAATCTCTGTCTTTGGTGAAAGCCCGACAGATCAGGTGAAAGTCTACAAGTAAAAGTTAACCCTCAGTCCATAATTGGCTTTCTTTTTGAAGCTCTTGTAAAGCACTTTAAATGTCTTACCTTAAAAAAGTTTTGCAGGGTTATTTTAAGAAGACTGCACTCCCCCGTTTGTTTGTTTGTTTGTTTTTTCTATTGAAAATTCGGAATACACGCACAAATTTGCTAGAAACGAGCAAAATCTTTGCGAGGATTTTCAATAGCGTTCATTCTTTGAACTGTTGTAAGACAGAGGAAGTGGATAGGAAGTGAAGAGCTGTAGCAGTCAGATCGAGAAACTTGGAAGAAATGGTAAAGCAGTTGCGTCACTTCTTGTTCAAAGTATCCCATTTCACAATAGAGATGTGGTCAAGATTTATACTGTCTGTAATTGGTACATTTAATGCATTATATTTTGCTTCTAAGGTAAACTATATTCTACATCAAGAAGTAAGAAATATCCTAAAAATATTTTAATTATGAAATACTTCTCTAATTCAGGTTTAGGCACCTATTCTAACTCTAGTATAAACCGAAAGTTAAATGGTGTGAATCAGAAAAGAGTAGGAAACTTAAACAATATTTTTATTTTTCCCATTACAGCTCGATATTTTATTACTGCATATTTTGGTTATTATGGGAATCAATCTAAAATGCTGGAAATTTTAATTGCAGTCTTTGACATGTAGAATTGTGTTATGGTGTGAGTTTTGTTCAAACTCAACTATTTACAACAGTTACTGCGGTAACCATACAGGGGTTAGTCCATAAAATAATTTCATTTTATCAATATATGCGAAAGTTTAATATCAATTTGGTTTGTTTTTGGAATACTCAGTTAGCATGCCAAGTCTGGTCTGGATCGGTTAACTTGTTTAGAAGGAAATGCGCCCACAAAGACAGAAAGTTTTTCTTGATATTAGATAGTTACAGCACCCAGCGAACAGCAGAGATGGATAATAAAATAATAATAATAATAAGTACAGTATAATAATTTAATAAGAGTACCTGTCAGAGTTTGTATTATAAAGGAAAGCGATTGCTAGAAACGTTACGTGCCTATATATTTTAATTTATTCAGTTTAATGTGTTGTAAAGTTTTATTTCGCTCTGTTTATTAATTAAGCACAGTATTTGCAGTTTGTGGACAACTTTTAATAGTATGTATTAGCCTGCCATCTATGTTATAAATGTGGCACTAAAAGTAGAATAAAATATTTTGAAGCATGTAGACAATATCAGATATCACTTGCCTTTACCTTGAACGTTCTCAATTACACAGCCAAATATACCTATAAAAATAAAATAGTTGGACATTCTCTGAAGCCTGAAAGTTATCGATGAAACGTCATGTGTATTGTACAATGTGTAATAAGGATCTGTTAAATGCTACAAAACTTGAAGATTGCCAACAGAATCCAATACAGTTAGGTAGATAAAAATAATATCATTAATGAAGCTTTAGAGGAAGTTTCTATGACCTAAGTATTTTTGTTATTACATACACTCATTACAGTTTTTCATTCTGGAGGAAAGTTTGAAGCTGTCTACTATACTTTCCTATTGTCTTTCATATAAATACATAATACTAACTAATCATAAATACTGTTACGTCTCTGTTCGTTTGATAATTTCCCATAAAAATTCTTCCCGAGGAACTTCAACGATACAAGCTCTTTCTTAATTAAAACTAGTATATTCTTCCTCAATACAACTTTGCAATACACAGAATTTCCACAGTCACTTTAACTTAAACACACGCTATAATTCACAACGATTTACACACTTTACTTACGGCTTGACTCGATTATCTGTCTCTATCTCCCTGTCTGCTATTCAATTATCTATGCCGTCACTTCTCGCCGGTCTTATATATACGAAATAGAGAGTGTCTGGCAAACACTCGAGCCTGCAGGAACGTTCGAGATACTCATTACGTGTTACCAGCGTCACGTGACTTCCGCTGTCATAACAATACTATAGAACGCTGTATCATAAGCTATAAATTCTATGTTCAATTTGCACGATAAGATTATTCAACACAACGGCCCCAGCGGCACAGCGGTATATCTGCGGACTTACAACGATAGAAACTGTGTTTCGATACCCGTGGTGGGCAGAACACAGATAGACCATTATGTAGCTTTGTGATTAATTCCAAACAAATAAACACTTAACACAACGTCAAATTGAACGTATTAAAATAATTATATACGCGACGTTTCGAACGACCACTTTTCGTCAAGTTTCAAAATTTTATAAAACTATCTCTACTCCTTCATGAAATGATTCAAAACTGGAACACTATCGTGTTAGCCAATAAAATGTAAGGCATGATAAGGCACAAATAAATTGGACGAAAATCTCAGACTGAAGAATTGAAACGTTACCAAGAAATTTATTTTGGCAACAAGAATATGTAGCTAATTATTTCACTACTTTGTCAAACTGTTTTTGAGATTAGTAACATATTTTTTGCACAGTTTCAAATTGTCACAGACAAAGAAACGGCGCCATCTATTAGACATTATATTCATTAAAATGCTTTTAAAATGCTCAGAACAATTTCCTATCAATTGCTAATGTGATGTTTTGGTTTTAGCCAGCCTTACCTAACACTCAGAACAGCTTATAGATTTGACTAGTAGAAATGTTTTCAAAGCATGTTAATTTTAGATATATTGGTTTCTCACCAAGTGGAGCGTAACATATAATAGCGTTGACAAACTAGCAAATTAATAAAGCTACTTAATGGACATTTTCAGTATTGCCTGCCTACAAGACAAAAAAGAACAAATACATGTCAAGAACATATATGTTTCCGCCTGTGAAAGTAAATACCTTTAATTAAAACTACTTTAGCGCGATCGTTTTCGATGCTTGCACTAAAACTATAACTTCATGAGAGTTCTCCCTTGAACACATACAATGGTTTTAAATTATATGAAATAACACCCATAAAAGTAGTTCGTTAGAACCTATTGTACCTTATAGAGAGGGTGTTTTGGGGGTGGGGATAGTATCATCATGTTTAGTTCGTCAAAATAAACTTAACACACACAAATTGTGAGATTATCTTAAATCATAATTTTTCTGGGTTTGTTTTGAATTTCGCGCAAAGCTACACGAGGGCTATCTGCGCTAGCCGTCCCTAATTTAGCAGTGTAAGAGTAGAGGAAGTCAGCTAGTCATTACCACCCACCGCCAACTCTTGGGCTACTCTTTTACCAACGAATAGTGGTATTGACCGTCACATTATAACGTCCCCACGGCTGAAAGAGCGAGCATGTTTGGTAGGACGGGGATTCGAATCCGCGACCCTCAGATCGCGAGTCGAGCGCCCTAACCACCTGGCCATGCCGGGCCATAGATTTTGTTTTTTTTCAGGGTGTCAGGAAGATAACAGCTAACTTTTTTGTTTTACTTCTTCCTAACTAAAGTACTAACAAGAATTTAAAAATCAAAGCTTAGATTAATTTTTATCCGGAATATATCATTATGTATGAA